TGTGGAGCGGGCAACCAGTGCTGCCGAGAAGCTGGGAGCTGTGCATCAGGTCTGGGCATGGCCCGGGGCTCCCCACCAGGACTGGGAGGGACAGAGGATGCTGCAGCTGGGCTTGAGGAGCCATCCCTGGGCTTGGGAATCCATCCCTGGGCTTGGGAATCCATCCCTGGGCTTGCTGGGGTCTGTCCCCCCTCCTCGTGGTGCTGGTGTCGACCTCATGTTTGCACGTCCTGGGGTGTGAAGGATCTGCCTGCCCTAGGGAGCAGGAGGGGTAGAGGCAATATGGGATGCACAGTGAGGAGCTGGCAGGCACCTGGGTCCTCAGGGACCTGATTCCCCGTCCTGTCTGGCTGCAGGAGGCCCGGATGAGCCGAGCAGCAGAGGTGATGGTCCAGCACGTGGAGAACCTGAAGCGGCACCACATGCGGGAGCACGCGGAGCTGGAGGAGATGAAGCGCCTGATCCAGCAAAACTCCCGCAACCGGCAGCTGGCAGAGACCCAGGGTGAGGTGGGCTCTGCCACCAGGGGGTGCGCGGGGCAGCTCTGTGGGATTTGGTCCCCAACCCCTCCAGGGGGACAGTGTGACCCTGCAGCACCGAGCCAGCAGGTTGTGCAAGCAGGGGCGGGTGACAGCTGGGACCTGATGACAAGTGCGAGGGGCCAGGGTGACAGCAGACACGGCGTGGGAGCAGGTGCTGGTGGCTGGAGAACCATCATCCCACAGCCCAGCTGGGAATGCAGGGCAGGGGGGTACAGGGCACACAAAGGACTCTCTGTCCCTGGACACCAAACCTCACACATGTCATTGCCATGCACGCAAGCAAGGTCTCCCCAGCCAGGGCACCCCTGTGACTTGTGCCAAGCATGTGGCCAGGCCAGTTGTCAGTGGGAGGGAGGTTTGCAACCATCCATGCATCAGCCCCACCTTCATTTTTTGGGGTGAAATAAGGCTGCTTCTCTTTGCTCCCAGATGACGTGGAGCCACGGCTGAGGCCTCACCCCCTGATGCGAACTTTCCAGCAGGTAACTGGTCCCAGTTCAATAGCCCTGGAGTCACCCCATGCCCTGCCTCGCCTGGTGGTCCCCATGAACCCACTAGTCCCCTGGCAGTGTCACTCCTGGAGCTGCTTGCTGTGGGCAAAGTCTGCTAGAAATGACGGGGATGAGGCAAAATATAGGGTCAGCTTTGGAGGGCTGTGGGGAGACAGGGTGCCCAGAGCTGGGGAGACAGGGTGCCCAGGGTTGGGAGCTGCTTGTCCCAGAGGTCTCAGGTCCCAGAGATCTCAGGCAGGTCCCTCTGCATTGCAGGCTCATAGCTCGAGAGCTGCAGGCTTGGCTGTTCTCTAGCACCAGCTCGAATTCGGCACTGGTTCCCCTCCAGCTCAAGAGGTAGGGGAGCGCTCGGGGAGGGGGTTAGACATGGCTTGAAGAGTAAGGACAGGCTCAGACCTCTTGGCTTTGACCTTCCTTCACCTGCCCAAGCTCTCCAGCTTCCCCACCTAGCGCCAGGGCCAGTGGGAGGCTGGCAGTGTCCCTTCTGCTCTTTGGTGTCCCTTGCTGGTGCTGGGGAAAAGGAGGGCATGGGGAGCACGGGGGGAGCAGCCAGCAGGGTGCTCACCCCCAGCCCCACCATTGCAGGGGTCTGCCCGCCGCAGAGTCAGCATCGCCGTCATCCCCAAGCAGCTCTTGGTAAGGACACACTTTTTGGGGGGGGACACAGACAGGAGCTGTGCCCTGTTGTCAGACGTGTCCCCAGGCTTGGTGCTACTGGGGGTTTGGGTCCCCAGTGATGCTTCCACCTTCCGTGCCCAGCCAGGTGCCAGCCCGGAGAGCCGAGCAGCCCCAGCCAGCCAGCTGGAGAGGGAGGGAGCCCAGCACCCACCCAGCACCCAGAGGTAACCACAAACCACAGCAGGTGATGGGGAGGCCATAGCCCTGGCTGCTGCTGACCCAGGGGGCATGGCACAGCACCCTGTCCTGTCCCTCCCCAGGGCTGAGCTGGAGCCACAGGGCCAGGGCAGCGCGGTGAGCGGGGAGCCAGCGGCTGAGGCAGAGGGCAGAGGCTCAAGTGCAGGGAACGAGGAGCCGGAGCAGCTTGGGCTGATGTGAGCAGCACCCTGTGTGCCCAGCATCCCACAGTGGGTCCCACATGGTCCCGCATGTGGGAAATGGGCTTGGGGGATTTGGTGATGGAAGGCTGGGATGTTGCTTGGCTTGACTTTGCTCTGCCTCAGTTTCCCCAGGCATTGCAGGTCACCTGTGCCCTCCCCGGCCTTATTGCATTTGGGTTTGCAAAAGGGCCAGTGAGGTTTGGGGCCGAGTTGGACACCCCCCTCATCCCCAGCTGGGTGGAGGTGGGATTTGCTCTCCCCCTTGTATGATGAGTGTCCCTTGTCACCTTCTCCCCAGGTCCAAGGGGTGCCCGGTGGAGCTGTGGCGGCCGTGGCTCTTCCTCCCGCAGCACTACTGGGTTTTCTTCTGGCTGCTTCTCCTCAGCGTCGCCTTCCTCCTCCTCATCCGTGTCCTGGAGCTGCAGCAGCTGCAGCCTGCAGCATCCCCCAAGGCCTAGTCAGAGTGGGCAGGGGGAGGTGGCCGGGGGGACACCCCTTCTCCATCCCTGCTCCTTCCCTGCACCCTAAAACACCCTAGAATAATAAAATCGGAGGAAGAATGGGGGAATTTTAATGCTGGAGCAGAGGGGAACATCCTGTGCCAGGATCTGAGATTTGGTTGGAGTCAGGTTACAGGCATGAAAGGCTCGGGGGGCTGCAGCAGCCCTCATCTGTGCTATGAGTTTGCCTGTTCTCTTGGCACTTCGAGGAGTCTGGGGACAGAGCTGGAGCTGCCAGCGGGTTTTGCATTCGAGCTGTGTCCCCCTGGCACCCTCCTCCGCCACAGCTCCTCGGTCCCTGCTGCCTGGGGAGCTGTAATTAAGCTCCAAAGCTCCTTTGCTGCTCCCGGGGGGACAAAGCTGAGGCTGGAGAGCGTTCAGCCTTTCCCCTCCCCTCACCGAGCTCACAAACAGAGGGAGCTGTTCCCGACCGCTCCGATGCTTGGGAAAACCACCTGATTTGACACAGACGTTTCCGCGTCCGTCCCGGCCTCTCGCAGCCCCGAAACACGGGTGGGCTCCACCGCCCCCC